ATAGTTTGTGCTAATACCCCTATCATATTATGGTTACTGTCATCCATCAATTGCCTAAAAGCCAACTGGTTTTCTGTGGTTAAAATAGGCATTACGCTATAACCCACTGACCCTTGGTTATTTGTCATAAACTGATTCGCCCCAGACCCAGGCCCTAATTGTGGTGATGAATTCGATGTGGAATTGTGTAAACCTGCCATAAAAGATGTTGGCATTCCATAAGAGGAATTTCTGGTTCTATTACCATCGAAACCGGGTGGTCTAGTTAGTGGGGTGGCGAAATGGGTTTGTGTCCCTGATGGTGAAACGAATCCCCCATGATAACCAATGGTTCCAGTATTTCCTAAGATCGAACTATTAGTTGATATGCCACTTACTCCATTAGTGGCTATATTACTGGTAGAAGATGTAACAGACTGTGCATTCAAAGGGATCACATTAGACGTTCCCATCGAAGCAGACACATTAGTGCCTGTTGTATGTGGGGCATTTTGTTCCCCTTGTTGATTGTCAGAATTAGACATCTTGTTCAAACGTTTTCTTCTGGATAAGGGTTGGTTGCTGTTGGTTATTTTACCACTTCTTAGGTTCATAAAACAACAAACTTATCACTAAGAGGGTATTTTTATAATGGTTACGTCTCAACAATCTTTATTTCTGTTCTAAATTCCGTAATGTCCAACGATTGGTCCCACCGGGTGTGCCAATTTGTTTACAGTGATTTCTGGTAAACAACCGCTAGTCCTCCAAACTATCGAATAAACTTACTGACTGTTATTCAATTTCTCTGGTAACTCGCAGGATCGACTAGATTGATCCTAGGACGTGTTGGTTATTAGGGTAACTCTCATGATCGAACTGGTATTCATGGTTGGTATTTAGAATGTTGTGCAGGTGTTTAACTTATTTCGATTTCTCTATTAAAAATCTAAAGGTGTGATCAAATAAATGTGCGCGAAACTAAATTGCATGAATAAAGGTCAATTGTAAAGACATGTAAAAACTGCATAGAAGACAAATAAATGACTTCGAATCATAAAAACGGTTAATGTAAAAGATTCAAAATATGAAGAAAGCGTTTAAATGCAAGAAAACTGTAAAATGGCTTTAAGTGAAAAAGGTGTTCGAATGATAAAAACTTGAAGATAAAGGCATGAAATGTATAACAGTTTCTGAAATGTAAAGTATTTGAAATGGAAAGAAAACATTTAAATGTAAGGCATCAGTGAAAAGATTTCGAATGAAAACACTTTAAATGCAAAAACTTGTAAATGGTATTGACATAAAGATAAAGGAAAGTACTGGAAATGACAAAGAGTTTTCATTAAATCATAAACATGTGGTGTTATCATACGTACATTGCTCTTGCATTCGTTTCCCTAGCCATGTGGTAATTTGAATGTTTACTGAGTTTTTTTTTTGTACAATAGATATGACACCCGAAATCCTAATGCTAAGACTTCTATTTATACTACTTCGACTATAACGGTCTTGCTATAAGATTCTGCCACGTTCAGAACATGCAGAGCAATGCTTCTCTCTTGCTTCCACGCGTCTTCGAATGCTCCAGCGCATATATTTCAAATTTCGAACATCCCGCTTGCATTTGAATTTCAAATGTTTTGGCACTTCTTCGCTTCAAACGTATTTCTTAGACACAACCTTGTTATCATTTCGAGACTTCTTTGGATATATTCTCATAACTGTCACTCGAAGCTCCAAGCTTTGATATGCCCATTCGAAGCACTGCTTCTACCATTTCGAAACATGACGTTTTGTTTTATTTCAATCGAAACGTCCAACTTACTTTGCTTCTAATAATATCATCAAAATCTTCAGCCAACAACCGCCTGTTCTCCCAGGCCCTTATCCTCTGATTCTGTTGTAGGATGAGGGGTTGGTATGACTGATAGTGGCGAACAATTCTGCCATGGTCGGTCGGTATTGAGAGGGATGGGAACCGGTTGCATGACTTTTAGAAGTTCCTCGATTGGATTCTTGGGATTTGGTCATCGCTGCATCGGGCGTCAGTTGAATCAGGAGATGCAGTCTGTTTGTCTCGGAATCCCAGGTTGTCCTCGAGGTGAGTATGTTCATGACTTACGCCGGTTTTGTGAGCAGGGGAAAGAATGAACTTTTCGGGCAGATAGAGATCATCATGGTCAACCATGATTAATGAAACAATCTTGAAAAGTTTCTTTGATCTTTAGGTTTCGAGGAAAGAAAGATGGAAAGAGCAGTTTCCCACAGACGGAGCCACCGATCTTACCGATTGATCAGAATTTGTGAAGTGGCCGGAAGATGATTTGTATTCAGGCTGTGATGTCGAAGAGGAAACAGGAGGTTGTACCTGCAAGGCACTCTGACGATCAAGTAAGAGTGGGAACAAGGAGATACAAGTAAAGTATTAAGGTATTAGTGGTGAATAGTGAATATTCGATACCTGGCCCTCACATGTGTGAGGGTTTATATAATGCCTCTGGCGCATGGCCATTGATTCCTGATTTTACGCCTGGATATGCGGATCCGTAAAATCAGGTAACTTCCAGGACTTGGTCAAACCAGAAAGATGTGCCCGTAACTAGCTGTTGGTTCCAAGGAGGAGGCAAGTTACAGACATCTCTCTGGTCAGTTCCTGGTATCTTATACGACTTTAATGTCGGACAGGCTAAGAGATGCTCGTCGATCATCCTAGGCCATTGCCGGCTTGGGAGGGAAAATGGTCGCTATTTCCCGACAGAGAGCGGGCAGTTCAGGTCATGGTCGTGTGAACCATGCCAGAGGAAAGGGTTAGACTGGGCTCATTCAAGCTATTGGGCTAGTCCAGAACAGGATCATTGCACAATTTTAGAGGAAGTCGTCACTCCGACTCCATTTCCTTCTAAAGATGGTAAAACTTTACCGTGGGAACATAACCCCACTGTCTACATCAAAGAACAAAGGCGATAGAGCTCGCCTCCAACCACGAAAGAGCATGTCGTCATCAACATAGCATAAGCAAGGGGAAAAGGGAGATCATCAAAGATAAGGATGTTGATTAATCTGAAGAAGTGATCGAAACATCTTCAAAGTGTCCAATCACAGAATATCGGGTTTTATTTTAAACCTTTTAAATGGGAGCTCCATGCGGCTTGTAAACTCGACTTGCTTATTCGTAAGCTTTAAATATTTGCGGCATAAATTACCCACATGCTGAAATTTCCTGATCACAAAGTCACCAGGAGTGTGTGCTCGAACACAGGTATTCCTGATTCAAAAATCCCAAGCTTGTTTGAAGTCGAGTTCTTTCCATTTATTTATAACTTTGGGTTGACGATCCAGAACCGAACCTCTCCAAATACTTGTTATAAGCACTATCTGAATTTGTTCTTTCATAAAAACACTAAGCAAGTGACTTCCTTTTAGGAACAAGGAGAGTCGCAATAAAGGTAGATTTTTATATGATCTTTGGGGATTTGGGTGATACGATAGTGATGCATCTTAATCTAAGATGAATGTCTTGCTTATCCCTCTGAAGAAAGTCTCTTTATATAGTCTTCAAAGGACCCTTTAAAAGCCTCATTTAAGATGCGACTCTTCACTTTCTCATGTTTAAGACACACATAACGGTCGTCGTGTGTCATGAATGGGTGTATTTAAGCTATCATAACGTATGCAGTTACTCAGCTGACAACTGTTACGTTTTATGCTTAAGACCGAGTTCTTAATCGACTATATACTGTTAGGTTCTATCCGAGAACACTCAAAAGAGTTGGTACCCGAGTAAAGTCACTACCCATTGATACTCGGATAAGATCGCAGAACCGTCTTTGAGGACGTGCAAGACGGCCTACTGCACATGATCTCAAAATTTTCAAGGTTAACTTATAGTTAAATGAGGCTTCATAAAATTTTTAATTGTGATTATATAAGTTTTTTATTTATTTTGTCCTTACTAAATTGTGACTAGCATACACAAAACCTCTAAAAACTCAAGACGGTTTTGTAAACTCGCTATCCGACTTTCTACTAAACAGAATAAATTGTGACTAGCATACACAAAATCTCCAAAAACTCAAGACGATTTTGTAAACTCGCTATCCGACTTTCTACTAAACAGAGTTAATGCTTAGGCAAGATTTTTTTATATCTTTTTGCCCTTGTCTCTAACTTCCCATAGTTTTTATATCTTTTTACTCTTGTCTCTGGTGACTTTATAATTCGATTAAGAATAAATATTTTTGAAATGAATATCAATGTTGAGTACATAACTTCTCAATGTCCAATAAAAAAATTATACTACTTACTTCTCAATGTCCAATAAAAAAATTATACTACTTAAACAGATTGAATATCATGAGGATAAAGAGTATGAAAGAGATATTAGAGAATATTTTACATTTGATGTGACGATCTTCAATCTTCGAAGTAACTAATGAAACATATTTTTCAATAAATATTAAGAAGTGCTGACAAAAAAAAAAGAAACCTAAAATATGCCAGATATTAGAAAAAGGAGCTGATGGTTTTTAATGTCATTTTTAAAATATTCCCATAGCCACAATGCTCTTAACCCCGTTAAACTTCAAACAAACCAATGATACCTTTTCTTCCACTCAAAATGACAATATTGCTAATGTCAAAAGTAAATTAGAAGTTGTTGACTTCAGACAAAAATTGCATGCTAATGTATTAGGGTCTATGGATCATTATTAGATCATTATAAGATTTCAAAAGATAGAGATATATTTGTAGTGAAAATTAAATTACATTCATCTTCATCTTTCGAAGTTACACTATTCATAAGTAGTTCATAAAAAAGAAAATACATTGATCACAAAAAATCTTAAGAAAACATAAAGACCTTATTCATCAAAGATTGAACAAACCCATTTTAGCAAGCCTACATTCTATACATAACAGACACAAGATACAAAACAAGTTTCATAGGAACCCCATAGACCCAACCAAGTCTTTCAAAACAGACATGCCCCTAGACCCTAGCCATGGCTATGGCTTCTTTAGTCAACCTCTTCAATCTTAGGACCAGGTCCAGAACCAGCACCACCCATACCATCTCCCATAGGCACATCTCCAGCAGCAGCACCTTGATACATCTTAGCAATAATAGGATTACAAATCCCTTCCAACTCCTTCTGCTTATCCTCAAACTCCTCCACTTCACCCAATTGATTCCCTTCCAACCACTGAATAGCCTCCTCCACAGCCTTCTCAATTTTCTCCCTATCATCACTACTCAACTTCCCACCAATCTTCTCATCCTTAATAGTATTCCTCATATTATAAGCATAATTCTCAAGCGAATTCTTAGCCTCCACTTTCCTCTTCACCTCTTCATCCTCTGCCTTATACTTGTCTGCATCTTTCACCATCTTCTCTATCTCTTCCTTACTCAACCTCCCTTTATCATTCGTTATAGTTATCTTGTTCTTCACTCCAGCTGTCTTATCTTCCGCAAAAACATTCAATATCCCATTCGCATCAATGTCAAAACAAACATTAACCTGAGGTACACCTCTCGGAGCCGGTGGAATCCCAGCAAGTTCGAATTTCCCAAGAAGATTATTATCCTTTGTTCTCGCACGTTCCCCTTCAAAAACTTGAATCAAAACACCAGGCTGATTATCCGAATAAGTCGAAAAAATCTGCTCCTTCTTAGTCGGAATCGTGGTGTTCCTCGGAATCAAAACCGTCATAACACCACCAGCAGTTTCTAAACCCAAACTAAGAGGAGTAACATCCAGCAACAGAAGATCCTGAACCTTTTCATCACCTTCACCAGTCAAAATCGCAGCCTGAACAGCAGCTCCATAAGCAACAGCTTCATCCGGGTTAATACTCTTGCAAAGCTCTTTCCCATTGAAGAAATCCTGCAAAAGCTGTTGAACTTTCGGAATCCTAGTCGACCCACCAACAAGAACAACCTCATGAACTTGACCCTTATCAATCTTGGCATCACGAAGACACTTGTCAACCGGCTCCATACATTTCCTAAACAAATCCATATTCAATTCTTCAAATCTCGCCCGTGTGATTGTCGCGTAAAAGTCAATCCCTTCATACAAAGAATCAATCTCAATCGTCGTCTGAGAAGTCGAAGAAAGCGTCCTCTTGGCTCTCTCACAAGCAGTTCTCAATCTCCTCAACGCTCTCGCATTTCCACTAATATCTTTCTTATTCTTCCTCCTAAACTCCGAAACAAAATGATTCACCATTCTGTTATCGAAATCCTCTCCACCAAGATGAGTATCTCCAGCAGTAGCTTTCACTTCGAAAATCCCTTCTTCAATAGTAAGAAGAGAAACATCGAAAGTTCCACCGCCTAAGTCGAAGATAAGCACATTCTGCTCGCCTTTCCTCGAAGCTTTCTTATCCAAACCATAAGCAATTGCTGCAGCAGTAGGTTCATTGATGATCCTAAGCACATTCAATCCCGAGATAGCACCAGCGTCCTTCGTAGCTTGTCTCTGAGAATCGTTGAAATAAGCGGGAACAGTAACAACCGCGTTGTTCACCGATTGGCCTAAAAACGCTTCTGCCACTTCCCTCATTTTGATCAACACCATTGAAGAAATCTCCTCCGCCGCAAACTTTTTCTCTTCGCCTTTGTAATTAACGACGATCATCGGTTTTTCGGCGGGACCTGGTACGACTTTAAACGGCCATAGTTTCATGTCGTTTTGAACCGATTCATCGGAGAATCTACGGCCGATTAAGCGTTTTGCGTCAAACACGGTGTTTTGCGGATTCATTGCGACTTGATTCTTGGCCGCATCGCCGATGAGTCGTTCGGTGTCGGTGAATGCCACGTAGGATGGTGTGGTGCGGTTGCCTTGGTCGTTAGGGATGATCTCGACGCGGTCGTTTTGCCAAACGCCGACGCAGCTGTAGGTTGTGCCGAGGTCGATGCCAATAGCTTTGCCCGCCATAATATAACAGTTTCTGAAAATTAAGCGTAGAAAGAGTGAGTTTATATTTTGTTTCGTTTGATGAGGAAATGAAGAAGGTGAGAGTGTTATTTATATTAGTGTTAGGACATGTGTAGGAGTTAGGAGGAAGTTCGAGAAAATCCGAGGTGAGGAGGGAAAGTATAAGAGTGAGCTGGAGAATTCTCGACACTGTGAGGAGGTTCCAGAAAAGTCAAACTATTTAGAATGTTTATTTTTGAAATACAATACTTTTTATTTCAGGTTGATAGGAATTGAAAAAAAAATCGTATATCATATAACAACATTCTTAAAATAATAGAGAAAATTTTAAATTTATTTATATTTATATTTTTTTAATTAAATTTATAAAATAATTGTGATTATGAAGAATAAAAAAATATTAAATATTTTTTTATTAAATAAAAATTTGTGATTAATTATATATTAAATTATTTGATTATGTTTATCCAAGAATTTTTTTCAATTTAATATATTGTCTTTAATTAAATATATTTTTGATTTTTATAAATATTTTCATTTTCATTTTATTTTTATTAAAAAATAATACATTTTAGCCTTTACAAAAATTTTAAGAATCAGTTTAGTCTTTATTATTTTTTAAAATTTTAAAAACGGTTTAATTACTCTTAAAATTTTAAATTTTTATATAATTTTTTCAAACATGTTTAAAATATAATAAAATATTTCTTTATTAAATTTTAAAAATTTTTAATATAATAAAAATTAAATATTTTTTTTAAATTTTAAAAGATAATAATAAAAATAATGAAAATTTCGACTTATAAATTAAATTTTAATTTTTTTTCAAATGAATTTTTTATAACATTCTAAATATGTTTTAAAATAATTATTCAAAAATATATATTAATTTAATAAAAAAGAGTATGTTACATACATAAAAATTTTGTAGAACTTAAAATATATTATTTTTTCAATAGAATTAAAAATTAAAATTAAAATATTTATAAAAATCAAAAACATATTTAACTCTTAAATAATTAATATAAAAAATATAATTGACATGTATTGCAGAGAAAGAAAAATGTCAAAATGATTTTTCTATTTATAATTTTTGTTATTTTAAAATTAAATGAAATCTATTGAATTACTCATTATTAAAATTGAATTGAAATAGTGGAAAATATTTTTGTTTGAAAATATTTTTATATTTTAATAAAATACGATTTTATAATTGTTCTGGACTGGGCCCGACAGGCCCAAAAGCATTACTAAGGCCCAGTCCAAAGGGACTCACTAAGGACCACACTGGGCAAAGGGGGTCACGTCCATGCCCGACACCCTGATGTCCACCTCGACATCTCGGTGTCTAGCCCCACGATGAAGTCCTGCTCGACAGCATGCCGTCCAGCTCTATGTCCTGGCTTCCAGCTCGACACCCGCCGTCCAGCTCGAGGTCTTGGCGTCGAGCTCGGCACCGTGCTGCGCAGCTCGACATGGTGTCGAGCTAACTTGCTAGGGCAGACTTAGTCTTCCATTGCCCCAACGATACTCCGGAAAGACCGCGTCTCCGTCCGCCCGCATTTCATGCAGCATATCCAGGAAGGGGACCACGTGCTGGTCCCCACTACCCACGTAGAACCTGGCAGTTCCTCCATTGGGCCAAATCCGCCCGGCCCAATGAAGGAACCTTGGCCCAGCGCTGGGGGCTATAAATACCCTCTACTTCCAGAGGGTCAGGTATTCATCATTCTAACCTCAACTCTATTATCTGCTCGTACTCCCACTGACTTTAGCATCGGAGTGCCTTGCAGGTACCCCCCCCTCCTCGTTCAAAAAGCCTTCAGCTCGGAGTAAGCCGTGACGGTCCAAACCTTCTGATCAGATCAGATCAGTGGCGCCGTCTGTGGGAAAGCAGCTTCCCCGTCTAACGAACAGTTTCAAAGACCAAAGCTCAATCCATTCACTGTCATGGCTACCCCAACTCGTGAAGAACAACTCACCCGCGTCCTCGACACCAACAACGGTCCCGCGGACAAGAATGGGCATCTGGACAATCCCAGTGATGCCGGCCACAATACCATCCCCGTGACAACCGCCCCTGGACCTTCCACCCGCAGGGACGGGAACACTGCGTCGTCCTCGACACCTCCTCCAAGACTCGAAGACGACCCGGAGGCTCTCGCCTATCGCCAAGCTGCCCGGTTCTATGAAGTCCAAGTCCCTGCCAGAGCAGATGCCACGACTCAGGCGTTGTTCGCGGCCATCAACCAGACGAACTATCTCCTGTTCGCCCAAGGAGAAAGACTAAGGGCACTTGAAACTGACCGACGCCCCCCGAGGAGACATCAAAGGCCACCATCTCCACCTCCTCGGGTCGAAGAAGTTCGACACCCTACTCCTCCGCGGAGACATTACAGGGAGAACTCTAGGAGCCCCTCTCCCCCACCAAGGCAGAGGCGGCCCCAGTATGAAAGACAGCCCGTCATCCCTGCCGAAGAGCCCAGTCGCGACCCATCAAGGCACGACAGGAGGCACAACAGAGACGGGCGTGTGACCTTCAATCACCGAGCATCACGCTCGAGGGAATCTCAGCACGACCAGCGTGCCAGACATCACTACAGGACCCCTTCTCTTTCTCCAGAAAGGAGCGACGAGGACGACCCCCGCGGTCCCCTGTCGCAGGCCATCATGGACGCACCTATTCCCCCGGGCATGGAGAAGCCCCCACACCTAAAGGAGTATGATGGAGTGGCGGACCCAGTCGACCACATTGACGGGTTCGAAGCCATGCTCCACTATCACAATGTCGGGGGGCCCATCAAGTGCCGTCTCTTCCCAACAACTCTCAGGAAGGCGGCCATGGATTGGTACAAAGGACTTGCCCCGGGCTCCATCACCTCGTGGAGGAACTTGAAGAATCAGTTCATCAGTTCCTTCACGGCTTCTCGTCGCCACCCAAAGACTGAGGCAGCCCTCGAGGCCATCATTCAAAGACATGATGAGACCTTGAGGGAATTCATCAACCGCTTCAACCGGGAAGCAATACAGGTCCCCTGCGCGGACCATATGAAGAGGTATTTGCCGGAGAGGGGCCTCCTCCCCGGCACAGAATTCAGGAAAGCTGTGGGCATTGAGCCACCTGCAACTTTTGATGCTCTCCTCGACAAAGCCCGAGCATATATGGACTACGAGGAGAGAGAAGCTGCCAACAGGGCACGAGACTCCAGGGCTCGCAACCATGGAAGCAGCTCGAGACAAGACCCTCCTCCCCGACGCACCGGAGAGAAGAGGAAGGAAGACAGACCCCGGGAGGTCCGGGAACAAAGGGGCCCCTCGGGCCGGTTTACTGAGTACACTCCGCTCACGGCTTCCCGCGAGCGTATTCTGGCGGAGTGTGCAAGCACAGATTTTAAAGACGGTGGCGTCAAGCGTCCCCGACCAGCTCCTGCCAAGCCAGGAGTAGACAAAAACAAATACTGTCAGTACCATAGGAGTCATGGTCACTTGACAGAGGACTGCGTTCACCTGAAGGACGCCATTGAAACCCTCATCAAAGGGGGGAGACTGGCACAGTACAGGAGAAACGACGCTCCCCGTCGTGAAGCCCGCGAGGCAAAGGAGCCCGAAGAAGATGCCCGGCCATCCGACGAGTCGGTGCCAATCCAGACCGCCTTCTCGGTAACCAGGCCCGAGGATTTCGAACTGCCCGAGCTCCTGCAGGAGCCCCTGACTACACACAGCAGATGGGAATACTTCCCCTCCGCCATGGTCATCAACGGGGGCGGGTTCAACGACCTCACCATCAACTCAGCAAAGAGGAAGTTGGACGAACTGGTCGACAAAGCTCCTCCACAAACTGTGACATTCGAAATGGTGAAGGGCAGATCAGAGCCTATCACCTTCTACTTGGAAGAGCTCCCCGGCGGAGCACCGAACGCAGTCATCCCCTTGCTGATAAGGGCAAAGATGGCCAATTTTGACGTGCATCGCATCCTGGTCGACGAAGGGAGTTCCGTCGACGTGATGTACACTCAGCTGTTCCGGACCTTACAACTGGACGACTCACATCTGTCTCCATATATAGGTTCGGACCTTCAAGGCTTCAACGGCTCGACGTCCAAACCTTGGGGATATGTCGAGCTCCTCGTGACATTCGGGGAAGGAACTGCTACAAGACAGGTGAAGGTCCACTTCCTCGTCATTGACTGCCCGTCCCTGTACAATTGCATCTTGGGGAGGCCGACATTGGCAGAGCTGACAGCGGTTCCCTCAACTGTCCATCTCAAAATGAAGTTCTACACCAAACGGGCAAGGGTAGCCACCATCCAGGGCGACCTCGCTGCTGCCCGCAGGTGCTTCAACGCCGCTTCAAGGGGTCGGGATACTGTCGACGTGGGTCCCAGCACTAGGCCCATCAAGAAGACAAAGCAAGAGCCCGACAGAGCATCTCCTGAGGCAGAAGTTCAGAAGGTTCCACCAAAGGTCGACTCCATTGCGCTCGACGCCCGTTTTGACCAAGACGAGCCGGCCAGCAACGAGCAAATTCCCCTCCGACCTATTCCGGACGGCGATTTCGAACTCGTTCCCCTCGGAGCAGACCCGACCAAGGGGGTGAAGATTGGCAAGGACCTCCCCGACTTGGACAGGAAGCAAATCAAGGCCTGTCTGCGCGAGAATGCTGATCTCTTCGCCTGGAGCGCTGCAGAGATGCCCGGACTCGACCCTGAGGTCGCCTGTCATCACCTCGCCATTGATCCAGCCGCCAAGGCAGTAGTACAACGTAGGCGTAGGCAGTCTCCAGAAAAAACGGAGGCTGCTGAAAAAGCTGTAAAAGACCTCCTAGAGGCAAATTTTATTTCTGAAGCCCGGTACTCCACCTGGCTGTCAAATGTTGTACTTGTTAAAAAGAATAATGGAAAATGGCGAATGTGTGTTGATTATACCGATCTCAATCGGGCTTGCCCGAAGGATGCTTTTCCTCTACCAAACATTGACATGCTGGTCGACAACTCGGCCGG